CCTTTACCTTAACCCACTCTCCACCTTGATGGCCGTTTAAGCCAGTTTTGTTGAGCCCACTCTTCAATGCAAAACCGGAACAACTGTGCAGCATGCTGCTCCTTCGATAGCTCAGTTGGTAGAGCGGAGGACTGTAGGTTTACAGGGCAGTTATCCTTAGGTCGCTGGTTCACTCCGGCTTGAAGGACAACTTTTCGTTGGGGTCTTTTCTGCTACCTCTCGTCCAAAGGGTCTGTAACCAAAAACTGACTTGTTCAAACCAAAAACAATGTCTGTTTTTGGACATGCAAATCCACTTGCTGTTGGAGAACATGTGCTCAGTGGCTCCTTGGACACAAGTGAGATGGAAAACTGATAAGGAGCTGAAATGGGTCTAGGTGGTGGGTTATCTTGGATGTAGCCAGCGCAAATTAGACTCCTTACCCATGGATTGAATATGTGGTAAAACTTGTCAAAGGCTCTTACTCTCAGTATGGTCAAGCCGTACATGGTGGTTAGGTTTTTGGAAATGCCAACAAAAGCCATACTAGCTAAGATTCTACGCTAGTGTTGGCGGAGCATGAGGCTCTTCATGGTAGTGAGAGATGGAGTGACGAGGATGTCTGCCATCCCGAGTTTACAGGTTTTGTTAATCTGATCATGACCTCCAGCAAGCAGGCAAGTGTCTGATACTCTGTTGCTCTCAGCTTTTGGGATCATTTCTGGTAGAGTTAGCACACTGAAGCGTGCTAACTATCGTGAGTGCGTTGTATGACCCAGCTCTGGTTGCGAAGGGAGGTGTTTTGGCTGGGCTCAAGCCCGGCTAGCTCAGTCGGTAGAGCATGGACTCTTAATCTCAGGGTCGTGGGTTCGAGCCCCAGTTGGGCGTTGTGGGATTTTAAAAGGGGCACAAGAGTACAACAATTAGCTGTTTTCAGATGTCTCTGGTATTCTGTTCTCCTCACCTTATTGATAGGCTCTGCTCAGTTACCATACCAGAGCACATTTAACTCACACAGATGTGTTGATTAAGCTGGGCGTTTTGTTGTTTTGAGGCGAGGTGTTTTCCTCTCAACTCTTGATTTCAGGGTCCTGGGTTCAAGCCCACGTTGGGCATTGTGCATTCCTTGCATTCCTCACGTGGTATCTCCCTGGCAGTCACAATGTTCAGCAAAAGTGATGACTAAAAGTGTTCAATAATTGTGTGGAGTTGGGGAGAGAAGCTTGACCCTGTCTCTCCTCTAGTTTCTGCTGCCATTCACACTGGCAAATAGGTGTGAACGTCTGCTCATAGAAACTCAGTGGGCAGAAAACCTCCTCTCTCACTGACGTCAGAAAACTGTGTGTGGGGCGGGGATGGACTTTTCAAAAGGTAGCTTCCGTCACACAGCCAGAGTAGAATGGCCTGTTCAGAGGACCCTTCTGGGATGCAGAAGAAAAGGCCCAGGAAGAAAGCATGGTGTTTCAGTGGTAGAGCTCTCGCCCGGCACGCGGGAGACCAGGGTTCGACTCCCGCCCATCCAAACCATACTTCAGACCAGAAGAAGCCTTAGTCACCGCTCGGTACTTAGCGATTAGGTAGCCTTGGCTCTGGGCGAAACCCCTGATTCTGTGGCAGCGTTCACCTCAGTGCCATGTCCCGCAACAACCCTCCAGTGACTCATGCTAGCTGGGCTTATCTCCAGAGCTACACGCAGGCCCACTCTTGACGGAGAGGCAGCCTGTGTTTGCATGCGCGTTATGTCGGGACTTCCTCTTGATTTTACTCATCTACTCATCTGCGATGCGGGCCTCGTTGGCGCAGTAGGCAGCGCGTCAGTCTCATAATCTGAAGGTCGTGAGTTCGAGCCTCACACGGGGCAGTGCTTTGTTGCACATGCTATCTTTTCTGTAGTGGTGTGCAGTCATATGCACTCGCCCCTTTGCACTGTGTAGAAGGGCCAGTTTGAAGGAGTGTGATGGCCCCTTCAGAGAACGCCCTGGGCCTTTCTCACTGTGTAGAAGGAGCAGTGGTCTAAAGTGGTCTAAGAAGTCAGATCTCTGAACCGCCCTTAATGGCTCTGGCTCTTTGATTCTCAGTCATCTTGTTCATGGTTATCCAAGTGTGGGGTGGTTACAAGCCAGACAGACATTAAGAGTTGTTGGACTCAGCTGAGACCATTTGTAAACGCCAGTTGTCGGACGTGCTTGATTTCCTGTTATTCCTCTGAGACGGTTCTGCTGTTAAAGTGGTTGTGGCCAGTTACTGTTAGTCTTTGAAAGTGCGTTGTTTTGGGAGGCAGAGGATATTTTTTGGTCACTGATTTCTCCGCCCCGTCTCCCGGTTTGGGATGACACCCATGTTTAAAACGGCTGGCGTGGACGTGTAGCTCGTATCCTGCAAGACATCCGGGATGAAACAAAAGCAACATCCTTTCCGAGCTTAGTGATACCTGTTTGAAAGAAACAGACATGAGCCCGTAAAAGCCAGTTGCCAGAAGTCTGTGACCCGTGGCGGCAAAGTGGTAGGGACCAGGGTCACGTAAGCATTGTGGTTCAGTGGTAGAATTCTCGCCTGCCACGCGGGAGGCCCGGGTTCGATTCCCGGCCAATGCAAGGAGCCTTTTCCTTTGCCTGGGTTTGATTCCCCAACAGCACAACACGCTCCATTTTACCGGATCACCCTCCTGATTGATAGCACAATATCTTTTTCCGGATGTTTGGCTTGTTATATGACAAGGACACGCTGGTAATGTATCGATGCAGAAAGAGCAGCAAAGGGATAGTCATTTTCCTTGCTTCTGCTTGACTAAATCCTCCATAATGGTACTGTCATTCACCCTTGAAGAGCATACCACCTCACAGGGATCAGCATGTGGGAAAAGCACGGGCTGTCAGAAGTGGGATTCGAACCCACGCCTCCAGGGGAGACTGCGACCTGAACGCAGCGCCTTAGACCGCTCGGCCATCCTGACTACACAAGGTATGTCGAACCCATCACGTGAGCCAAAGCAGGGAATGACATCACCTGCAAATGAGTCAGAGAGCACAAAGCAACATTAGATTTACATTTAAGGTGAAGAAAAGCGGTGGGAGTCAATGAGTGATTTCAGGCAGGTGCTGACGAAAGGGGGGTGAATTGCAACGCCAGAGAAGAGGCAGCCTTCATGACGTGCGACTTCCAAACAGTCAGGTCCCACCGAGATTTGAACTCGGATCGCTGGATTCAGAGTCCAGAGTGCTAACCATTACACCATGGAACCGCTGGGGCAATGCTGCGGTCTGTCGATCCACCGCGTGGTCCAACCGGATTTAATGCCTACGTTAAAGCACTTAACAAGTGAGGTTCACTCACATTTTTATTTGCACAGGAAATGGACAAAATCGGCATTTATAAAAGGCAATGGCTTCATGACTCTGGTTGTCTCTGGTATTCTGTTCTCCTCACCTTATTTGATAGTCTCTGGTCAGGTTAGCATACTAGAGCACATGTAACTCTCACAGATGTGTTGATTAAACTGGCGTTTTGTTTTGAGGCGAGGTGTTTTCCTTCAGGAAAAGCCCGACTAGCTCAGTCGGTAGTCGGTAGAGCATGAGACTCTTAATTTCAGGGTCGTGGGTTCAAGCCCCGCGTTGGCATCGTAGGTAGGCTTTGAAGGAGTAAGGAAACCAACCGGTCCAAGAGCTGCAAAGGGGCTCGCTCTCGTGCGCCATGTTCTCAGTGCTCTGCTACGAATGACATTGACGACATGGTGAAAGAGCTGCAGTGCACTCTGAGGTGCTTGAATCTTAGCCAATGAAGAGCTCCGGTCATTAGACTCCTAACATGTGGCGGAATTGGTTCAAGGCTCTTGATCTCAGTAAGGCCAAGACTTGGTGGTTGGAGTATTTGGATGGAAATGCGCAGCAAAAAAAGAAAAAACATACCAGCTCGTCACAGGTAGGCCACCACTCATCAAGTCAGAATCTAAAAGATTTACAGCAAGAGCCGTGGCCTTTTACCTTAACCCACTCTCCACCTTGATGGCCGTTTAAGCACAGTTTTGTTGAGCCACTCTTCAATGCAAAACCGGAACAACTGTGCAGCATGCTGCTCCTTCGATAGCTCGTTGGTAGAGCGGAGGACTGTAGGTTTACAGGGCAGTTATCCTTAGGTCGCTGGTTCAACTCCGGCTCGAAGGACAAGCTTTTCGTTGGGGTCTTTTCTGCTACCTCTCGTCCAAAGGGTCTGTAACCAAAAACTGACTTGTTCAAACCAAAAACAATGTCTGTTTTTGGACATGCAAATCCACTTGCTGTTGGAGAACATGTGCTCAGTGGACTCCTTGGACACAAGTGAGATGGAAAACATGATAAAGGAGCTGAAATGGTCCTAGGTGGTGGGTTATCTTGGATGTTAGCACAAGCGCAAATTAGACTCCTTACCCATGGATTGAATATGTGGTAAAACTTGTCAAAGGCTCTTACTCTCAGTATGGTCAAGCCGTACATTGGTGGTTAGAGTTTTTTGGAAATGCACAACAAAAGCCATACTAGCTAAGATTCTACGCTAGTGTTGGCGGAGCATGAGGCTCTTTCATGGTAGTGAGAGATGGAGCTCCACTTGGAGTGACGAGGAGGTCTGCCATCACCGAGTTTTACAGGTTTTGTTAATCTGATCATGACCTCCAGCAAGCAGGCAAGTGTCTGATACTCTTTTGCTCTCAGCTTTTGGGATCATTTCTGGTAGAGTTAGCACACTGAAGCGTGCTAACTATCGTGAGTGCGTTGTATGACCCAGCGTCTGGTTGCGAAGGGAGGTGTTTTGGCTGGGCTCAAGGCCCGGCTAGCTCAGTCGGTAGAGCATGAGACTCTTAATCTCAGGGTCGTGGTTCGAGCCCCACGTTGGGCGTTGTGGGATTTTAAAAGGGGCACAAGAGTACAACAATTAGCTGTTTCAGATGTCTCTGGTATTCTGTTCTCCTCACCTTATTTGATAGGCTCTGCTCAGGTTACCATACCAGCACATTTAACTCACACAGATGTGTTGATTAAGCTGGCGTTTTGTTGTTTTGAGGCGAGGTGTTTTCCTCTCAACTCTTGATTTCAGGGTCCTGGGTTCAAGCCCCACGTTGGGCATTGTGCATTCCTTGCATTCCTCAAGTGGTATCTCCCTGGCAGTCACAATGTTCAGCAAAAGTGATGACTAAAAGTGTTCAATAATTGTGTGGAGTTGGGAGAGAAGCTTGAACCCTGTCCTCCTCTAGTTTCTGCTGCCATTCACACTGGCAAATAGGTGTGAACGTCTGCTCATAGAAACTCAGTGGGCAGAAAACCTCCCTCTCTCACTGACGTCAGAAAACTGTGTGTGGTGGCGGGGATGGACTTTTCAAAAGGTAGCTTCCGTCACACAGCCGAGTAGAATGGCCTGTTCAGAGGACCCTTCTGGGATGCAGAAGAAAAGGGCCCAGGAAGAAAGCATTGGTGTTTCAGTGGTAGAGCTCTCGCCCGGCACGCGGGAGACCAGGGTTCGACTCCCGGCCCATCCAAACCTACTTCAGACCAGAAGAAGCCTTAGTCACCGCTCGGTACTTAGCGATTAGGTAGCCTTGGCTCTGGGCGAAACCCTGATTCTGTGGCAGCGTTCACCTCAGTGCCATGTTCCGCAACAACCCTCCAGTGACTCATGCTAGCTGGGCTTATCTCCAGAGCTACGGCAGCCCACTCTTGACGGAGAGGCAGCCTGTGTTTTGCATGCGCGTTATGTCGGGACTTCTTCTTGATTTTACTCATCCTCATTCTGCGATGCGGGCCTCGTTGGCGCAGTAGGCAGCGCGTCAGTCTCATAATTGAAGGTCGTGAGTTCGAGCCTCACACGGGGCAGTGCTTTGTTGCACATGCGTATCTTTTCTGTAGTGGTGTGCAGTCAT